TGAAATATTTGCCTTTTTTGTCTTTGTATGTTTCCCCTTCCTATATAAGTTGTAAGCCGCCCTGATTCCCCTCAGGGAAAAGGGCGGCCTATAAATAAACTTAACCTAACCTAACCTAACCTAACCTTTGCTCCCCCTCCCCCTGTGCATGCATACGCAATCCCCTCGCATTCCCCCATGCCCTGTTTTGGGCCTGGTAGCCTCCCTGCAATGTCATGGAAGCAAAATCAGGCTATAGAGGGTCGCTCTGCCCCCTGTACTCCATTTTGTGCCTAGTAGTCCTCCCTGCAGCCCCCTGGGAGCAAAAATGGTCCACGGGGAGCCTGCACCGCAACCCTGTGTCCCATTTTGGGACTCATAGACCTCCCTGCATTTATGACCCATAGTGCAACCCCCCTTGCACACCCTGCTCACCCATGCACGTGCGCACAACCCCTTCTCCCCCATCTGTTGCACATGTGCACCTGTCTACCATTTGCATTCCGCCCCCACACATGCACAACAGAGATCTAAAAATCAACTGACCAGAGGGAGGTGAACACGCATGTGTGGTAGAAGCTGAGCTTGGGCGATGGGTCGCGGGCCCACAGAGAGAGCTCTCCATGCCACCTATGGCATGCATGCCATAAGTTCGCCATCATGGCCTTAGGATCTGTTAACTGTACCTTAACTTCCAGTTCTTATTATTTTAGTGTCATGTGTTTCAGATGAAATTTTAATGTAGCATTTAAAATACAATATAATTCCAAAATCTAGAAGTGAAACACATTCCTAACTGGTTTTCTCAAGTTGTTCATATTGTTTGATATATATATTATTATAATTACCAAACACAGGACAGGGGTAAATGAAATTCAATGTCAATTTTTCCTAACAATTTGTGTTTCTTTAGTCATGAATTTATCTAAAAATAAAATCAGGTGCATGGATAAATACAAGACATTTAGAACAAAGCTTTTCTTATAACTCTGATTTGTTACTAGAACCAAAAGGCAAGGATACCAATTTCCACCAAGTACTTACAGAGGAGCCATGTTTTTAACAAAGAAGTTATTTTAGAAATAATTTTAATACTAACCACATGGACTTTCTTTGCTTTCTTCTGTTTTTTTCTCCTTTTTCTTTCAGAAAATCTTTTAGTAGAAGCCCTACTGAGTGAAGGTCTGTTGGATACTCTTCGTAAACTTCCATACTTAGCTACTTCTGGGTCACCATTAGAACTCCCCAAATCATTTAGATCTTCTGTTTCATATAAATCTTCTTTCTCTGAAATGTCACTATTTTCATCCTCAGTCTTAAATTTTGTTTCTTCATTTGATGTTTCACTCTCTGGTTCTTCTTCCTGGTAATTCTAAACATTTATAAAAAGAAAACAACTTAGAAAAAAATAAATTATCAATTTTTCTAATTACAGCTTATGAAAATTAAATCTACAGATAGTCCTTGACCTACAACCATTGCTTTAGTGACTGTTGGAAGTTCAATGGCAATGAAAAAGTGACTTATGATTGAGCCTCACATTTACAACTATTGCAGCATTTCTATGGTCACTAGATTGTGATTTGGGCACTTGGATTTACAATAGTCCAGCATCCCAGGGTTACATCTTTGCCAGTTGGCATCACACGAGCAAAGTCAATGGAGAAAGTTGGATTCACTTAACAATTTTGTGATTTCCTTAATGACTACAGCATACAAAAAAGTCATGGTTGGCTGGGTATTTTTGGGACAAATCCATCTACCTTAAAGCAGTCAAGGTTGAGAAACACTGGGCTATGGTAACAGAATCTTAACTACATTTACCTATGTCTGAAGCATTACTTTATTCATTTTCTAACATATCTGGAACCATAGAGAATCCAGTGGCATTCTTGGGAAAAAGACAGAGTGATATTCTACCAGTTTGGACCAGTTTGCCCGAACTGGTAGGGGAAATTGCGGGCGAGTCTGCCCACCGGCCCTGGCTCTATTTCATCCTATTTAGGGATATTTTGTGTACAAGCTCACACATTTGCAAACTGGTTGGGAAGGTAAGTGAAAACCACCCCTGGAAAAAGAGATTATTGTGGAAGTGAATGTTAATACTCTATAATATGGCAGATCCAAGCAACTGGTAAACATTCAGATTTTAAATAAAAAAAACAACCTAAACAAAAATTATTTAGGTGCACATGTAGCTTAAGGGTAATATTTCTTTGACCCGTGGAGACAGCCAATAACATCTCATTAACTTTGCTTGACTATTATTCAGTATTATGGAACAGTGGGCTTCTATATTCCTGTACCCTATTTTGAATAGCTATAATATTTATGTCCACATTTAGTCAAAGTACAGTTATCAATATGTAAATCTGGACAAATATAGCTTTTCTTGAAACAAGATAGTTTTAAAACATCATTTATAAAGGTGGAACATTCCCGCCATGTGGTTAATGCTACATTGCATTTTACCCAAAATGGACAATTCTAGACTCTCATAGTTAGGATGTGGGAAAGGGCAGAAAGAGCACACCTGGGAATTATCCTTATAAAGCATATAGTATCACATTTAAACCAAGCTATTGAATTTCATTACCTGCTGCATTACAAGGGCATAGTAAACTCCTTTATGTGCCATGAGTTCACTATGTGTCCCTTGTTCGATAAGAACACCCTTCTCAAAGCCTGCAATAACATCAGCTGTCCTGATTGTAGAGAGTCTGTGAGCAATTACAATGGTGGTGCGCCCAGCCCTGGCCTTCAAAGAGGGATAAAAGAAAAAGAAATGGAAAAAAAGAACAAGCACCTTATCTAAAAGATGATTTTTTTCATAATACCATCCTACATTTCTTCATGTATAGAGATCAATAAAAATTTTAGCTCATGATATAAATGATTTATATTTCTCAAATATGTTGCTGTTAACTCAGTTGGTTTAACCAAACATTCTTGTGGTTATTTATATTTCATATTTTCTGTCAACATAGTATATTTGCAATCTATAGTTGTTTAGATATTGTTGATCATATAATGCAGATTTAAAATTCACTTATAGCTAAACTAACCTGGTTAATATGATGCTACACATTTCATCACTGATAGAGTGCTTTAAATCATGGCTATTCCTTCACACCAATTTAGGTTTAGTATGGGACAACTGTGAAAGACCCATACAGTTTTTGATTTGCCATTTGGCAACCAAAGATAACTGCTTTCAAGATCTCTAGTTAACAATTTCGAAGATGCTTTTTTTCAAAAGGCAACTGGACCTCCTTTGTTTTTCCTTGAAAATGTTTTGTTTCTATCCAAGAACTGAAGAAGTTTCTTGGATGAGAAGTGAAACATCTTTAAGGTAAAACCAAGAAAGTCCAGTTGCCTTTTGAAAAAAGCACCTTTGGGAGAACCATGATTTGTGTGACTGAGAATCTTTATCCATAGACATTTAGCTTTAACTCTGGCTTGCAGTGTTTTTTTAAAAAAGAAATCCCTTGTCTCTCCACTTTGTCTAGTATATATTTGTCTAGTGTATATCATATTGTTCCTGACCCCAGCACTGGGACCAGGGAAATTCAACAGACATATACTTTCTGTTTTGTGGAAATGATTGCAACTTTTTGTTGGGGAGACTATTATGGCTTCATTGTAATCTCATAATATATATTTATTGTGTAGTTTAAAATTTAGAAAAACGAGTTGGAAGGGACCTTGGAGGTCTTCTACTCCAACTGCCCTACACACTTTCAGACAAATGGTTATCCAATCTCTTCTTAAAAACATTTACAACTTCTGGAGACAAGTTGTTCCACTGATTAATTGTTCTAACATTACTATTCATTAATTAGTAATTTATTATAATTATGTTATTTAATAATTCATTAATACTATTAATTATTAATATAAGTTATGTAAATAATTCACTACTTCTTAACTGAAAACTACTTAGGAGCATTCAAAATGTCTAAGTAGCTATCAAAAAAATAAAGGAGCCACTTTCCAAATTTTCAGGCCTTCCTGAATTTATCATCTTAGATTTTTGGTCTTATGTCTAGATTGGATTTTGATCTATTCACATTCCAGGAATGATGAAAATACTCATTATCATTCATTTTTATATTTTAGATCATTCTATAGTTAAGGCTTATTAAAATAATGGACATATTGTCTACATCATGCAGATTTCACTTTCTTTTTGTTGATTGGAAATAATGGGAGACATCATCATCTGGATCTGATTAAACAAAAGTCCTGGTTTGGTAGATTTGATAGATTAATCATGGGATAATTTTGAGTAGTGTAGCTTCAGTTAAGCTGCTAACTTTCTCTTTGCAGTGAGTCCTTTTATAAATGGAAACAATATCCTGATTCATAAAAGAAAGCAAGAACTGGAATGCTAAAGGGAAATTACTGACTCTTTTCTCTGGAAAGTTCATTGGTGCTAACAGAATAACCACAAGATGAATAGTTAATGAATCACCTTGTCAAAAATGACTAATACTGAAACTTATGTTACAAGAAAACACACATAGATCCACACATAGAAGCATTAATAAAAGCACACCCATCTGTGCACTATCCATTAATAATACTTTTAGAAATTCAGTTTTGAGCCTTGTAAAATGATTGGAAGCTCTTAAATGAAATGATAAGCTTTAGGTATGTTATTGCTTTTTATTTTATAAGGTTAAAAATGTCATTAGTATCTTTAAGGTAGTGTAAAATGGACTTTTTTTAAAAAAAAACAAACCATCCAATATAGGCCGGATATGGGTTTTATTTGTACATAATCTTTAAACCCATAATCTTTAAATCCAAACAAGGTTGAGTCTGTTAAAAAGTTGTAATAAGTGCTGTGCCTATTGTTCTCCATTCTGAAGCACTGAAAGATTGATATATTTTAGCACTTTTACTGTTAGGTGATTTTTATTTTACTATTACAATAGACATAGCATTTCAGATATGCTTTATCATCTAAGCAAACTGGCAAAAACGTTTGTTTAAAAACATTAACTGTTTCCTACTTTGGACTTCTGTTAAACAAATCTTTTTTCCCATCCTGCAAACTTTGCTACTTATGCAGTGGTGAAATTCAATTTTTTAAAATTACCGGTTCTGTGGGTGTGGCTTGGTGGGCATGGTAGGGGAAGGATACTGCAAAATCCCCCTTCCCACCCCACTCTGAGTCCAGCCAGAGGTGGTATTTGCTGGTTCTCCAAACTACTCAAAATTTCTGCTACCGGTTCTCCAGAGCCTGTCAGAACCTGCTGAATTTCACCCTACCCTAATGCTACACTTTCTCTTAGAATGCAGAAGATCTTCATACTACTGAGGAAGCTATATATGCTCTTCAACATACTTTTGCCCTTAATTGATTGCCTGTAGTGTACGTCAACACAACTGCATATATATTTATCTGTGTCCTAAAAACAAGGGTGTGTCTCTGTTTCGTTTTCCTTGTTTTATTTGTACTTCACTGCTTCATTTCATTTATTGTTTCAATTCAATTATTGCACAGTCTCATCATTAAATACATATTTTACCAAATAATACATATTTGAGTAAAAATTTTCTTTTTTGAAAATAATTTGATCACCTGTGGATGTGTTTACTTGCATTTATTCACCAACAGGCTTTTAATTCCTTAAAGTAATTCTTTATGTGTAGCTGAAGCGCTACCCAATCATATTTAACGAGGCATGTTTACCTTATCAAGTGCTGCTTGGACTATAGACTCACTCTGATTATCTAAAGCAGAGGTGGCCTCATCCAGCAGCAAGATCTTGGGGTTTCTGGCCAGGGCACGAGCAATAGCAATACGCTGTTTCTGACCCCCACTGAGCTGGGCTCCTCTTTCTCCAACCATGGTATTAAATTTCTGGGATATTCAAAATATAGAAATGAACACTGTCATGCTCATAGGTATTTGTGAGAAAAGATTATTAGCATTCAAGCAAGCATATTAAATATATTAGCCAACCACACAATAGGGGCCTGCAGGTGCACATGGGATGGACACACACGCTTGCGCGTGCGCGTGTGCGCACGCGCGCGCGCGCACACACACACACACACACACACACACACAGAGTTTTAAAGCAAACAGAGCACTTTCTAGCTGCAGACTCTTTCTCTTGAATATAGGAATGGCTTTGTTGCTCTCTTGACATTTTGATCAGATGAACTGTGCCAATAGTTTTTCTCTCAAAATCTCAGGGATAGCTTGATATGAAAGACAAGGAAGATTCTTAAATAAAAAAAGGAAGTCCCATGTTGGCATGTACTGAGTAAAATTAATTCATTTGTATGAATGTGATATAAATACAACACTTCATTGTTCTACTTCTGAGCTACTGAATTGATTCTTAATGTTTCCAGTGTGATTAAAAATTGCCATTTCTCAAAAGAGAGTGTGTCTACTCAGAGTATACACAGATGCACAAATCCACCTTATAATTAACCATAATTAAACAAAGTCAGTCATTAAATATAATTACCTATTGACTGTAAGAGCTGCACAATTGAGACAGCTAGTTCAATCTTCATTACAACAACAACATATCATACTATGATGATTGAATATTCAGTAGACATAGCAGCTAATAATCACATTCAAGAAAAGTTTTGGAAACACCCATGTAAGATGAATGAGAATGCCCTTGATTTCATATTAATTTAAGAGTCTACCGTGAAAAGTATGTGATCTGAGGGTTATTTTACCAAGAAAACCAAAGAAAATTATATAATAACCCTTTAAAAATTGACCTGATTCCAAAATATCAAGGCTTAGAAGGGAAGATGAGCTTGAGGAAAGAAGAAAGTGCAGTGAGATTTCTGTTTCTGGGACCTCTCTATATTTACTAGTCTGACTGTCACTACAAAGACATTTTGCATTTCTTCATGTGGCTTAAAATTACACTTTGCATTCTCTGAGGTTTCCATATTATTTTCAAAAGCAAAACATTTAATATAATAGATGATTTCTGGGAGATTTTCAGAAAAAAGAGTAAAGATTTCTGACATGATTGGTTAAATACTATAGAAAAAAATTGATTGCCCATAGTATCCACTCTAATTTTGACAGTTGACTGAAAAAACTTGGTGTCACCAGGATTTGTACGCAAGGTCATGAATGTTATTCTGCTGTAGAACACAAAACAAAGCTCAGAATTATTTAATTGGATGTCGTTTGCATTTGGGTCTATTTGGGGAACTAGGCCTTATTATAGAACAAAATAGACCTCATAAACAAAAATTTTATTAGAAGTTTCTAATACCTGACCAGCATGATATTAAATATTGTTCATAATCTTGATGATGTGATATATTGAAACACTCAAAGGGATATACAACACATGCAAATATATAACTTTGAATGAATGTAGTATAATGTTGTAAAGATTAATAGCACAAATTCTGATTTACAATATCTGCTTCAGGATTCCAGAAGGATAGTCAACAGAATACATGGATCCTTCTCTTCTCTCTCTTCCTCTTTTTGTAATAAAGTTATCCAAAGCAATACTGTCAAAAGTTAGTAGGAACAATGTGTCTGATTTAAAGAAAAACATGACCTCAAATCTCCAGAAAAAGGAAAAATTTAATAACAGAATTTTAACACTTGAAGAACTGCAATTATATTTTAATTTTAATCAAGGAATTAACTTGCCTTTTTTCATGACTGCTAAGATTCACTTCATACATCCATTAAAAAAAAGTGTGATGACCTATGAAATTTCAATAGCTATTGCAACTTAATATATAGTTTTGATTTATGAAGTTCAGTTTTGACTTCAATATTAATTATAAAATGTAACTTTAATTTCTGAATACATTTATTTGGTACGTTTTAAAAATTCATTTTTGCCTCTTGCCATGTATGTACTTCTTAAGTAAAATTTATTTAGGAGCTTAAAAAGTTATGAAGTTAATATAACCACCTAAAATATTGTGTAGAATCTTGTATATTTTATTAAGGAAAACAAACAAAAAATAATGTTATAGGGATTGAGGCTATTCATCTCAGAACACCCAAAAATTTCAGTGTTGCTTTGTTTTCATTTGTTATAATTTAACAATATCTTTATGTTTTAAGTTGAACCAAGCTCATAATAATTCCTAATACTTGGTTAAAGTGGTTATCTACTGTATAGCTCAGAATATTTTAGTGCTATATTTCTATGTTTTATTAATTTTATTGTAATTTCTTCATTTGATTATTATGAGTAATTGAGAATTGGAAGTTATACAAGTTTAATAAATCATTATTAGAACAGGTATAGCGTTGCAGACTGCATGAGCTTTATACTTTTTCCTCTCAAGCATATGAAACATTTCAAATGTGAATTTTAATAATATTGTCATGAAAATTCATTTAAATTAGTTTAATAATATTATAGAACATGCTTGAAAGAAAAATTATGTATAGGGGTAAGTGAAAAGTGTGCTTTATTGTTCACTAATAAAAATGCATTCTGCTTTTTTGTCTAGCTAGCAATAGATAAAGATCAGAGGAACATCTCTCCCTCTCTCTCTCCCTCTCTCTCTCTCCCCCCCTCCCTCCCTCCCTCCCTCCCTCTGTGTGTGTATATGTGTGTGAGGGTGTGTGTACACATGCAAGCCCTTCTGTGATGCGGTGCCAATATTTTTACTACTGGTTCGTGCGTGCTCCTGCGCATGCTTGCATGCATGTGTGATGCTTCTGTGCATGCACAGAAGCATCTGGGCAGGTGGGCAGAGCCTCCTGCTGCTGCTACTACCAGTTCGCCCAATCCAGGCTGAACTGGGAGCAACCCATCTCTGATGCCCTTGTGAAAACAGGCAAAATATCAGTTGAAGCCTTCTCCCTTTAGTATATTTTTCATGTGAATAAACAAGGTGGGACTTTGATCCCAACATTCTGCATTTTTAAGCTTTTTGCAGAGATCTCTGTTCCAGGATTGTTGTTGTTTTAATTATTACAGACATTCCTACAGTGAGTAATAATGAGAATTATTAACTTAACAATGTCTGATTGGCTATAGATATTAGATACAAATAAATTATCTACATAACAAAGTGCCGTGTTAAGGTTAGTTGGATAAAGTATGCTGTGCTTAAAGAAAAGATATGTGGTAGAGCACATAAATGAGGGAGGGGAAACAGATTATTCCATCCTTACTAGAGGTTCATCCTTACAAGAATGTGAAAATCGTGCTACTTACATCAGGAAGCTTCATTATGAAGTCATAAGCATTTGCTTCTTTGGCTGCTTCTTCAATTTCAGCATCAGTAATATCCTCTCTGCCATAACGAATATTGCCTGCAATTGTGGTAGCAAATAAAACTGGTTCTTGGCTTACAATGCCAATGTTTTCCCTCATCCATTTGATGTTAAGGGTTCGAACATCATGCCCATCTATGGTAATCTGAAGAAAAGAAAATAGAAGTTTGTAAGAGCCACCAGTGTAGATGTTTGATTACTAGAGTAATCAAGTAGATATGTATTACTAATATAATACAGTTTTTAGATGCTGCATGTCAGCCCTGATTTAGGGATTTATTTTCTGGCAAATCCAGAAGCTCCAATAGAAGATATCACAGTTGCCCTTGCATTAAAACGAACCTGTCCTTGTGATGGATCATAAAATCTTTGCAAGAGTTGAATAGTAGTGCTTTTCCCACAACCACTGGAACCAACAAGAGCAATGGTTTGTCCGGGTTGTATTTTTAAATTCAGACCTTTAAGAATCTGGAATTATTCAAAATATAAATATATATTTAAAATATTTTAGGCTTAATACAGTACTATAAATCATGCCTGCAATACAGGAAAAATATACTTGAAGATTATCTAGGTTTTTTTATTTAATATTTTTAGTCAGTAAAACATTCTAAAAATGAAAGACTCATTTAAGAGATCTAAGAAAGATCCTTTATCTTCTATAATTGCACATTTTTATTATTGCTAGAGTATTTTTATTTTGTGATGAAACTTGTAATGAAAAATTTTTAAGCCCTTTTCCTGATCGTAGAGAAAACAGCTTTAAACATTTCTTTTAAATGGATAAAAAGAGGAAGAAAAAAAATCTGTCTTACCTGAATATTTGGTCTAGAAGGGTAACTGAAATAGATATTTTTGAATTCAATTTCTCCTCTGAGTTTATCCAGCTTGAATCCATCAGTGGAACTGCTATCTATGGGACGAGGCTGGAAAAATAATTGGAAAGAAATCTATAATTTTTATAAATACAATATAACACAGGAATTTTTTTTCCAATGTTAAAAAAGTATGAGATGTAAAGTATGGAAATGATGCATTACTTTTCTTCTTACAGAATTGCATTTCTGGGAACTATAGCTGCCTTTTCAAATAAGAATGGATTTCCTATAAATTTCAAAGTCAGGGCTTGACTATATGTGAATAAATACCAATTAAGACTAATTAGAAACAACCATATTAAGAATGTCATTTGTGCATCCTGTTATATTCATACAATTGTCATGTGCAAGCAGCTACTTGTGAATAGGTTCAACTAGATATTTTACTGCTGAACACCTATTTACAAGAATCTTACCAGATTTCTGCCTTCCCTTGGGAAATGGCATATCTAGAGCTAAAGATTTGACCTCAGACATTTTCTCCTCCTAACCAATTCTTTACTCCTCCTAGAGGGGTCTCCTCTCCTTCTGCCAGTAATTCCACTCCATCAAAAACCAACAAATTAAGTGTTCTAAGACTTAACCAAGGGTCAAAACAAAGATAGGAAACAATTCTGTTCTCACCTTCAGTTCATATACTTTCATTCATAACTACCCAATGGACAATTTGCTGCTTTGAAGTTATAATAGTAAATAAAGAAAATAAAATACAATAGAATAAGAAAAAGAAATACAGAAATGAAGTGCTCAAATATCCATAAATATATTTATATATCATAGCCTGTAGATACCTTTTTGATTATTTTAAAGACTTGGTAGGCTGCTCCACGAGCATTGGCCACATTCTCCAAATTGGGGGAAGCCTGTCCAAGGGCAAATGCACCCATAAGCACAGAAAAGAAAATCTGTCAGGTAAAAGAGGTAAAATAGTTAATACAAGTGATCAATTCTGTGGATTCAATTAATAAACCAGCAGAGTAATAACAGACAGTGTGAGGGTATAAGGTGCTTAGAGTTATAGTGCAGCAACTCTGGCGGTGCATGGTCTCTATATCCAGAATATTATTATAGTACTCATAGCTTGATTTAAAAATAGTTTTACAATAATAACAATTCATAATATGATTGTTTCATATAGTCAGTCAGCACCCATGTTCTATTTATCTGTTTTGATGAATGCTACCTTAATTCAAAAGTAATTTTTCCACCAAGAATAATTTAAAATTAATAATATGATTTCCAGCACAGATAATCTTGCTGAGTATATGCTGCAAGTAAATAATCATGTTTATATGCTCTACAATGAATTCCTTTAACTATTGGCACCTCCACCATCTTGAGATTATTATTACTAATATATTGCTTGGAAAAGAAAAGCAACCGAATGCTACATGTAACAATTTGTGGGCCAGCCAGTGCAGAATATAGAGAAATACAATTGTATTTTTTTTAATGTGTACTGTATGTCTGTAAAAACCAGTTCATTCTCATGTGCATCACATACATGACACAAGGCAAAAATGTGGGGCTTGGTTGCATAGTCTTTTTTTTTAATCTCTTCAGATGCTTCTGACAGCACTTTTAGTGCCAAATGTTGGGATTCTGGGTGTCCCAAGTACTTAATCATATCTCTTATGTACATTTTCATTAACTGGTTTACTATGATCAACAGATTAGAAATGAAATAATAGTCTCTTTAATTAGAAATCAAAGTAAATGATGTAAATACTAGCAGGCATGCAAAGTGTGAATGATTTAAATCTCTTAGATCATTAATTTGGCAACCTAACATTAATTGGCTTTAATTGGTACTTGAGTATAGGATTATCTATATATCTGTATGTTTATACATAGATTATGTGTTTTACTACTTTAATGCTAACAGAATTAATTCAGATATACTTTCAGTCTGACTTCATCCACTATTATTTTGAGGAAGGTGTTCTTTCTCTTAAAAAATATTTTGCATCCCTGCCTTATGCATTTTAGCTACAACCAGAGTCCCAAGACAGCTGTGTATCTCATTTTATTAGAATCATTTTATTAAAATCATCTGACAATGATTTTCTTTTTCTTGAGCCAACAAGGCCTGAAAGAACCTTTTGATTTATTAGATGTTGGATTTATTAGATTTATTAGATGTTGGATTTATTAGATTTATCTAATAGATTTATTAGATAGATAATTATTTTAAACATTAAGGTTCAATAGAAAATGTACACTTACAATTAATACTGTTCCAATATCATAATTATCCCTTTCATCTATTGTGAGCTTGGTTCCATACCAGAAGCCGATGGTATAACATCCATACATCAAAAACTGGGATACACCAGTTGAAAAATTGGTGGTGATAGTCTTTTTTGTTCCAATAGACAGAGCCTCTTCTAGGTTTTTATCATACCTGATAACAGATCCAGCATGTTAGAACAGTTTTATGATATGTATTTCCCATAAGCAAAGATTTGTACCTTTTTAATAATTCCTTCAAAAATATTCACTTCCTGGGGCTATTGAAATCTCACTGATGTTTCCTTGGATCTTTCTTTTTTAACAATATATTTCCCTGAGAAAAGCAGGGACATTTTATCCAGGTTCCACTGAAGAAATTGATGTTACACATTGGTTGAAATTTGGTAAAAATTACAGGAACAAGCCACATCACATTATGAACCTTAATGTCAGGTAAGTGCATTTCATCTCCAGAATTTTCTTGAAAATCTTTATATTGCATGGTAATTTAAACACTAGGAGACAGTTTTATGTATTAACTGTATAAACAAGAGGGGATACATAATCCAAGTTGCCATCCTGATTCTGAGAACTATTGGCTACATTAATCTAAATAGGTGAAGTATATTTGTATACTACATTGGAGCATTGCTTTTATTCTTGATCTTTTTTGCTTCTGTTTGGCTTTTGGAAATAGAGAGGAGAAAAAATTATATACAATTTCTCATGTCCAAGAATAATTATTTATAGAAGGATCAAAGAAGCTTGGTGACTGGAAATGTAAGGTTTGGAAAAGGCTTAATGTGAGCGTACCTGCTTTTGATCCTTTGATCCTGTTCTAGCTCATAAAGATCTGGGGAAAATTGCAGAAGCACTACTATTTAACATAGGTAACATTAACATAAAATTGAACCTCAGATAAACGTATTGGTATCTTGGCATAAGTCACTGCCCCGTGAGTATTTAAATGTCATCTTACCTTGCTATAGCTTTCTTCTGTCCATTGAAAGCAATAACTGTCCTGATAGCTGACAAAATTTCTTCTGCCACAGACCCTGCCTTGGCATAAGCCAGCAGCTCCTTTGCAGTCAATACTGATAGTATCTGGTTAAAAAAAACAATTAAATTCAATTTCTAGAATTCTATTCTATTCTATTCATGATTTCAACAGTATAATCATTTTACGTAGCTTTTCCTGTCTATTTCCCTCTAAATATGTTGGAAAATACTGCCATTCTTCTTAGGCAGGATGAGCACTGGTCCTTACTGTTGGAAAGACATTGGAAGAGCATCAGACTGGAGAAACTGATTTTATGTAATCTAATAGAAAAACTGAAGAGGGTTTATCTGTTTTATTTATCAACGTGTATATAAAATTTATAAGCCACCCATTTCATAAAGGCTCTCTTTCTAAAGCTGATTTTAGCTGTTTTTGTTTTAATTTGTAACATTGTACAAATAAATTATAGCTGAACCAGAACACAATGCTTTGTGTGGGAGGAGGAAGATTTGCCAATAGAATATGTCTGACTTTTGGGCTGCACCAGCTACTATTATGTTTCTGTATGCAATTTAGAATACTGTTATCATATTTAAAGTCCTTCTTTGTTTGAATCTGGATATCTATGGACCACTCAAGTCCTATCCTGTAGGACTGGGTTACCCAATCTTGGCAACTTTAAGACTTGTGGATTTCAAGTTATGCTAGCTTTTATACCCCTCAGATAGGGTCCGCAACTTAGGAGTCCTCCTGGATCCACAGCTGACTTTTGATCACCAGC